TGTTTTCAAATATTTTCAGCCACTTAGTGTATCAGCAAAGTCACCACATCTGGTCTCAGCCACGGCGCATCACCACAGCCAGCACATCTGGTCTCAGCCACGGCGCATCACCACAGCCAGCACATCTGGTCTCAGCCACAGCGCATCACCACAGCCAGCACACCTGGTCTCAGCCACAGCGCATCACCAAACCAGCACAAAGTTGGAACCGCTTCCCAAAACTCGGGCCGAACTTTAGTGACTTGTGAAAGGGGAAGCGCACAGGAGCGTGCCTCTCATTTGGGGCCACACAAACCCTTCGGCGATGAAGTTCTCTTCATAAATAATAGAAAAGTGCGAGGTGAAAAGTGCTCTACTTTGAAATACTATTATACCGAGCATGTGTATATGGCACACAACCGAACGTCTGAAGTAAGTGTGACCACGGAAGACGGGAGTTTGCTATATTTTTCCGACGTAAGTAAGCAGTTCTATCCCAGACGTAAGTAAGCAGTCTTTCTAATCCAGGCAGTCTATCTTGTCTTAGGCGATCCAGAATAGCCAGCTGATTCATAGATGCAGTGAATGCAATAATAAGCGCCAAGAAGATGAACGAGTCGAATAAGAATTTCCCACGAGATGCAGTTTTAGGTGCAGGAGTTAAGAGAGCAGCAGTTAAGTTAAGGAGTGAGAGCAGCAGGAGCTACACTGGTATATTTCCCTCGGGCTTGCGGTAGTAGGTAACTGTGTAACTGAAATTTACATTGCGCCTCTCTAACAATAAGCCTTGGAACGTAGCTAGATATCGACTTGAGGGAGTATAGCAGCCAGGGACTGGAGCACTCAACGGCGCGTTAAAATGAAATCAGAAAGAAATATAGAATAATAAATGTGTAAATAACTACAAAATTGTTCGTTGCGATAACAGTCAAAATGACCGAGCATGTGAATATGGATGGCCCTTACACCTGAATAAATGGCGCAGTCATGCAGTAAACGCCTCTACAAATTAAAAGGAAATTCAAACAGAGCACAACAAAAGTAAAAAAAATCCGTGAATTAACATTGTGACCTGAGTGAGGTTATAATGGAAGTTATCACAAGTAAGAGTTTAATAACAGTAAATAAACGACCAAACAATTGAGAATTAGGAAGAAATATTGAATACAGCCTTGATTGACACAAGAACGGACCGTTTGTCCAGTCAGGGAAAGGCCTACAAAGACTGTTTGGCGTGGGGATGAAAGCGAGGCAATTACACAAACGAACTTTAATTTTCTTGATTGCTCTAAAAGCTGCTAAACGGTTTTTGCACGGGTGCCAGAAAATGAAAATCAGCCAATTGAAGTTCGATCTTTTGAAGGCTGTCTCCTATATCAGTTGCAAATAAAATTTGTTGTATTGAATGTTTGAAAGTAGCAAAAAAATTTAGTGTTATCTTATGAAAACGTGTGAAAGTTTTATGTTTATAGCGCATTTTCTCACTTATGGAAAAAAGGCGCTATTAATTGTGCTCGTAATGTCCGTCAGTCTGTCCGTGACTTCAAGTTTCGTCGACAAGAAAATGCGCTCTCTGTCACTCATTGCAGTGAGTTATATTTTTAGCGCATTTTCTCATTTATGGAAAAAATGCACTATTGTGCTCGCCATGTCCGTCCGTCCGTCTGTCTGTCTGTCTGTCCGTCCGTCTGTCCGTGACCTCAAGTTTTCGTCGACGAGAAAATGCGCTCTCTCTCACTCACTGCAGTGAGTACTGAGTTATATTTTTTTGAAGCCTGGTACCGTAAGTACACAGAGGGGATATTTGGTCGCGTAGCCAAGATACCTATATAGTGTCGGAATATTACCTGGACCGGAAAATTGATACCTTATCGGTAGGCATTGCAAAATAGAAAAGCTTTGCAAAAAGAGCATAAATCGATTGGATACAAATTACATATGTAATTTGGATACAAATTACAAGGATACAAATTACATATGTAAATTAGTACAGATAAACGTTATTTAGAATTTAAATATTTTTAGCGCATTTTCTCATTTATGGAAAAAATGCACTATTGTGCTCGCCTATGCATGCCTGTCTGTCTGTCTGTCTGTCTGTCCGTCCGTCAGTGACCTCAAGTTTTCGTCGACGAGAAAATGCGCTCTCTGTCACTTACTGCAGTGAGTACTGCGTTATATTTTTTCCGCTTTTTATAATGGAAGTTAAATGAGCAATGGGAGTTAAATGAAGTTAAATATGTTCTATTTAACAAGTGGGTTTGAACAGATGTTTCTTTACTGGGAATACGTTAGTTTTACATATATCTACAGGATTATAATATAACAGGAATTATCGAGGTCAGGCATGCAGGGCTAACTTGCAGGCATACAATTTAGAAATTAATGCAAAAAAGTGTAAATGGATATTATGTTGAAAATAAGAATTTGTGTAACTGAATCATAGAAAAAGTCACAATTTTAAAACTCATTTACTGAGATTAAATGAAACAATTAGACGCTAGGAGACAAAAGCACCCAAAGGTGCGTAAATCAAATTACGAACCCGCGGGCATCGCATTAGTCAGTACTGCTCTTCATGTGTGACATTGGGCGGAATAATGCTCAGGCAAACGCTCGATTATTCGGGCAAATTCGTCTAAAGCTGACGCGTCACCGTAGAGGCTGCTGTACATTTCGGTGGCAGTCCTCATCTAGTTACAAGCAACAGCATTGATGTGATAATCATTTAACACTTGTATCCTGATATTGTAGCTACATGCAGTCGTGTGATAATCATTTAACACTTGTATCCTGATATTGTAGCTACATGCAGTCGCTCTCTTATACACATCTAGATGTGTATAAGAGACAGGTCTCAGCCACGGCGCATCACCATAGCAGCACATCTGGTCTCAGCCACGGCGCATCACCACAGCAGCACATCTGGTCTCAGCCACGGCGCATCACCACAGCAGCACATCTGGTCTCAGCCACGGCGCATCACCACAGCAGCACATCTGGTCTCAGCTACGGCGCATCACTAAACCAGCACATCTGGTCTCAGCCACGGCGCATCACCACAGCAGCACATCTGGTCTCAGCCACGGCGCATCACCAAANCAAGAAGGTCGGAGGGCTCATAAGCTCTAATCAATTATTTGGCTCGGAACGCTGAAAGGATTTGTCGTGATTAGAGAAATACAAATATTAGCTCCTTCATATGCATTGATTTTATTATGAGGCTTTATTTTCTTCTGCAATGAACTGGAATTGATTATGTTGTTCATGATAAAGTTTGCAGGGATTGCGAGAAGCTGTTCAAAATTAATGGCATCGTCGACGATGGTAATGTATATCATTTGAAAAAGCTGACAAAAATAAGTCTTAGCTACTTATGTGCACGATTGAATGCAGTGCAAATTTCATGTAATAAAACTTGTGGAGTGGCAGAAAATTTAGTTTCTGTTGAAGATGACAAAATTTATATTGATACGGTAACGCGTTCATTAGAATTGAGTTGGACCAGCGCCAGAATGCACTGTTTACAATTTAATTTTTACAATAATTACCGCAGGGGAAAGTTTTTGAAATTGTTGTTGAAGCAACGATCGACTAATCATCGATTGTCGATCAAGTCTACTTGTTGCATTGATTTTATCAAAATGGTCGGTGCATCAGGTTTTTTTAATAATCAGCCTTCTTGTCGAAGAAAAAGTAAAGAAAGATAAACAAATAATAATCCTCAACGAGGAGGGCTAGTCCCTTGGCATTTTTTCACACTTTCATGTGCTCAAAGTAATTAATTAAGGAAGCCACAGATCGTGAATTCGTCAGCTTTCAAGTGTCTCCCGACTTGGCCTAAGCGTGAGGGAAAAGAGATGGCCAGCTGTCGGCCAAAGCTCATTGGCTCCGGCCGACCGCTGGCTGTTCATCGGCCTGTTGATCTGGAAACCACCCGTCACCTTAATAAAGAACAACGTAGTCAGAGATATGAGTATAGCGTTGAAGTGATAATGATAGCAGGGGCCAATGCAGGCCGAACTAACGAGTGTGCTCTAATTTTACATGGATCTGTCGGTGTCGGTGAACTTCCTTCCTGAGCTCAGTGAATTTCCCTTTGCATTTGAAAGCCTCTATAAGACCAGTAAGAGAGAGCTTATTCATTTGCAGGCCTCTAAGAATAGTAGAAGAGAGCTCATTCATTTGCAGGCCTCTAAGAATAGTAGAAGAGAGCTCATTCAATTGGAGGCCTCTAAGAATAGTAAAAGAGAGCTCATTCAATTGGAGGCCTCTAAGAATAGTAAAAGAGAGCTCATTCAATAGTGCAAATTTCATATGATAAAACCTGAGATATGTCAGAAAATGTAGTTTCTGTTGAGGGTGACAAAATTTATATTGATACGGTAACGCGTTCATTCGAATTGAGACGGACCAGCGGAAGAATGCACTGCTTACAATTGAATTTTTTACAATAATTACCGCAGAGAAATATTTTTAAAGTGATAATTTAGCATTGAAGTGATAATGATAGCAGGGGCCAATGCAGGCCGAACTAACAAGTGTGCTCCAATTTTACATGGATCTGTCGGTCTCAGAGCTCAGTAAATTTCCTTTTGCATTTGGAGGACTCTGTGAACAGTATGAGAGAGCTTATTTTTTCAAAATTAAGGTGAAAATAAATGCTGTAAGACACAGTGAACAGATGAACACTGTTTTGTTGCCCAGACTCAAGGGAACTTCGTAGAACTTACCATCACAGTAAAAAATTTCTGAGATAATATACGCATTGATGATAAGTTTCAAGAATGAAGTTCGAAACATCTTGACAAATTTCGAAATTTTAATTTCACAGTGCTATCTTGGCACAAGAAACCAAAAGCGTTAGAATATATTCGTGGATTCAATGTTTGATAGACCAGTTCAATTTGTGTGAACGAATTAAAAATGGAGCGAGAGCATGTAGAAGATGTAAAGTACTGAAAGAAATACTCAAATAGCGGTCACGAAATACAAAATACAAGATTAAAATGCTGACTCACAGGTAGGAAGGGGCGGGCAAGGTGCAGCGGAGCAGGTCGTGTCCTGCAGGACGCAGGACAGTCCCTCAGGACACGTCAAGTCCTCGCAAGGATCCCTACACTTGCACAGCGGGCATCCCTGGTCGTCTAGAGCGAACTGGTAGGGACACAGCATACGGCACTGGTAGCCAGCGCACGGCAGAGGATCTGATGAGTAAAGAAAATTTAGGATAAATATATTAAATTATATTGTTTTAATTGATAGAAAGCGTTGAGAATATAGCCTAGACTGTGCAACGAAGCGGTCATGAAGCTGGAGAGTAATACTGGCATCGCAGCAGGTCTGTTGGGAGCAATATTCAACAAATAGAGATGTGGATGAATTTAAACTTAGGAATGGAGAACAAGAAGAAATGAGAAACCATATAATCAGGTCGAAACGAAGCTTTCGTTGTGTAGAGAGTCTGTTTACTTTAGGGTCAAATTTATGATTAACATTTTAAGGTTAGAAGCAAGCCCTGACATTAAGCACAAAGAATTATATATCAAATCAACATAAGAGCAGAATCGAAATGAATTTAATCAAACCAAGGTGTTGATAATTTCGAAAACAAATATATACACATGAGTAATAATTTAACTAATATATGAAATTTCTCTTAAACAATGGAAAGAAGCCATCCTTCCATAAAACAAGTTTTGCATACATAATAGTTTCCATAAGCATACAACTAAAAAATACCCCACAAAGATTACATATATAAATGAAGCTTAGTTAAACGTAAAAATTCTTCCATTTCCAACCACTACGCTTATTTCTGTGTGCATCATAAATTTCAAGCCAAATTTACTATGAAAACCAATAATAATAATTTTCAAGGTGTTCCTACACGTCATTACAGTCAAGAAAAATATATAACTCAGTTCTCACTGCAGTGAGTGACAGAGAGCGCATTTTCTCGTCGACGAAAACGTCAAGTCACGGACGGACAGACAGACGGACGGACGGACGGACGTGGCAAGCACAATAGTGCATTTTTCCACAAATGAGAAAATGCGCTAAATAAGTATTGCTTCTTAGGATGCAATATGCATTAAATAAAATCTATGATATCATTAAACGCGAAAAAATATTTGAATAATTACTTAGTTATTGGGAAGCAAATGAAAGTACATTGCAAATCATTTGGCATTAGATAGTAGAATATGCTTGTTCGCATATGTGCGTTTAAAAACAAGAGAATGTATTGTTTTAAATTTTACGGTAGCAGAAGAATTCTTCAGATGACGTTTGTTGATCGAAAGGCAGGTTTACGAATGTAATTAATTGACGACTACTATTCTACGATGCGGGGTAATAAACTAAAATTACTTCCTTAAACCTGCCCTTTGATCAACAAACATTTTGATCATCTGAAGAAATGATCGGCTACAAGAATATTTAAATACATTTCAATATTAAATATTAAAAATATTAATACATTTAAATATTAAATACATTTAAATAAACAAGAATACATTTTCTAATCATTATAATCGCCCTGGTGTATACCAAACATTTATAGATATTGTTCGGATTGAAGCTAATTAGACTGGAAGAGTAACTCAAGTAAAGCCACGGATTCTACTCCGAACATTAAATTTAATTTAGACGTATCAAAGAAATGTTTCTTGAACGTGGTGATCGTAAATTTCCGTAGCCAATGTTATTCTTCACAGCAATTTCGATTGTAGAACGAGTTAGTAATTTGGTTTTCAACAAGTAAAATTTAACAACGCATAAAAAAATATTTTGAGTTTTCCTCATCGACCAAACTGTCGTTTGAAACAATACAAAACAGATACTTTAAAATTTCCCACAATATTTCAAGTGTTCTTGGCAGCTTTTGTAGCATGACCATAAATATTGGGCTTCAGAAGAAATATATTTGGGCAAAATGAGCTTCGACGTCGGTAAAAAGTGTAGGAAATTTGGCCGCCGTTTGGGGCGAGCAGAGTGGTAACGCAGCGGCCATGTAATTAGTTCAGGAGAATAATGTTCCCACAGACGTCCATTAGCGTGAATTACCAGCATTAAGCGCCAGATTTTAGACCACTTGATGCTCCCGAGACCAAAATTTAAGAATGAGCATCAAAATTCGATGCTACCGTTACACTGGGCAATGAAAAGCGTTAATTAAGAATGTGCCAACAGGCGAATAATAGCGCAAAATTCCAGAAAATGCCACTTTATTCTCAAAAAAGCAGAAGGTGAAAGAACTTGTATCAAAACTTGATGTTGCAGGGTCAAACCGTTCAAAAATAACGATTTAACCAGCGTAGTTAAACAACTTTGTAAATATTAATAACAATTTAAATAACTATAATAATAATTCGTATTTACAATGCGTAGAGAAATTTGTTTTATGGCAGCTACAATATGCCATGAAAGAAGTGAAACAGTCAAGAGGTTTCTTATGTATGTGCTTCACTTTCTACGCTATGCTCTCTAGCTGCATTTTAATTTTTGCGCAATAATTTCTCATTTACATGGGTTTCCATCACACCAGGTGTTCCTGAGTGTGTCGGATTAGTACCGGTTTACCGATGCTGTGTTCCGTTTTACCTCTGTTCAGATTTGTTTTATTTAATAGTTTCAGATTAATGTTGATAAACATTCTAGTTGTTTAACATTCTTGATTATATTTGTATTAAAAGGGTAAGTATTAATAGATTATACCTTGGCAAAGAAGATCGCTACCGTACGATAATAGTAGGTAATGTCTATGTCTCACTTTCATAATTCGTCCCTTTATCTGAAACAACTACGCTTAAATTGAAAGTTTTATTACTTTTTGATTACCTTTCTTTTTATTGAACAATTGTAAAATCTGTTCCTTCTTCATGTAAAAAGATTTTCTTCCTGTCTAAAAAGACTGGCTTTAGTTCATAAATAGATTTGTGCACAGTGCGAATTCAGTCAAGTTTTATTTTAGAGCGCAGCCCTCGCATTCATTCTTCCTCATCCTCCTACCCGATCCATATACCCCCTAATAATGAGTGGATGGCATTAATTAGTTCTCATTCTCACGAAATTATAAATATTTAGTTAGGTCTGCTTGCGATCAATTCCTGTTTTTCTGATTCTGTTGTTGTTGTTTCCACTTCAAAATTTGAGCCTGAATACATGTTTTTTTTACTTTGGATGCGAAAATTGATTGTACTTGTATTCTAGGTTTTTCGAATTGATGATAAAACAAAACTCTGCAATGTATTCCATTAAGATAGAGTGAATTTTAGTGGTATAATCTTTTTATGTAAATGCTTACTGAAAATATTCGAATAAACTTGTGATCGTAATAATCATCTTTATTATTATTATTTTAATTTTGTACTACGAAACACTCTATATTATTTATATTTTCAAATTACAGAATAATTCAGGATAACGGAGAAATATTTAAGCCAATAATGATGCTGGCCCATTTCTCATAACGCAGCGATTTTTTATTAAAAAAATACAGCGACGGAAGAACTACAAGGCATTTTTGCGACACTTTAACTGATGTTCGAGCACCGCTGCCCGAAATGTGCACGGAATTTTTCGAGACAGCGACAACCGCGGGCGCGTGACGGCTAAAAGTGATAACCGCTATTTTTCTTGCCCGGCCCCTCTAAAGGGCTGATCGTGTACGCGTCCGAGCGGAAGTACAGATTGCGCCAAGCATCAAACCCACGCTTTATTACTACCCAAGAACGACACGCAGGGAGAGAATGTGATTTTTCAGGTGACAATAAAATAAGGTTCGAAAGCATTGAATAGAATTCGCCGGGAGTATCAATATGCGAAAAAATAATTTATTTTTCGCCGGGAGTATCGACATGCGAAAAATAATTTATTTTAGATTAATGTATTTAAATAATCGAAAATACGGAGCATGTAAATGATAGAGAAAAAGGCATTAAACATAACCTTCAGGGAAACTAAAATTTTTTTGCCTGGAATGACAATTTACTGAATGATTGATAAGACACGTCGGAGCAAATTATAGAGCAATTTTGGACGTTCAAAGCAAAAAGGGCGCGTGTAGAAGGTCAGCGCAGGGAGCCTCGAGATTTACAAGACACGGGAACCTATCGCACATGCGCGCTCGCACGCCTCCCGCGAAGAGCATAGCGCCCAGCTGGGCCTGTATTTTCAAAAAAAGTTAAGAGATCGAAAGTTCATCAGCCAATTATTGACGGCCTTTCAAGCAAAATCCACCAATCATAGACAAGAAAATAGAGCGTAAGTACTTACGTTCACTTAGCGAGTTTTGAAAGTAACGCACCTGAAGAGCAGTTAGGTATTTCAATTACGAGAACTTCTAGTCAGATGTTTAATTAGGCAATTAAGCAGCTATCAACTCGATAGAAAAGTTGAATAAGATGGTTAACTTCAGTCACAGTTGATAGTTGAAAATTGAGACATCAAGTAAAATTTACATAACAAGCCGTAAAATACCGAAAAGCCAAAACACACAGCTATAAAATGAAATTTTCAAAATCATGATTTACTTTTTGGGTATCAACCGGGATCAGATTGAATAAAATCAGCATAAACTCCGTAAACGCAGAAAAACCAATAATGTTTTCCAACAAAATGGAAGCATTTTTGAAAAGGCTCGGTGCGATACGAAGCAGGTAACTTCAAAAGGAAACCGATCGATCGACCAATGGAAGGCTGGGGGCAGGCATCATCCATAAAAGAATAGCGCATTAATCAAAGATGAGAGGCGCAGATATCGAGAAATTGTGGCAGCTACTAGGCGCATAGGAAACACTCCGAAAAACTAAATCAAGGCAGCTAACCGAAATAAAAATTACGGCTGGCGCTTCGATGATTATAGGTGGCGATGGTAGATTATAGGTGGCTTTACGGTATATTATAGGTGGCCAGATCTGCCAAAAATCGGCAATAAAAGAGTGGCGAGTATAGGTGGCAGTCATCGATGAATCATCGATGATTTATAGGGTCTGAATCGTCGAAGGCGCATTGCAGACAAATCTCTTCTAAGCCACCGATAATAACAGTTTGCCCAAACTGCGCAGTGCGCGATGGAATTTGCCACTGTAATTTCTATAACGTAGAAAGGAGTTATGGGGTTGCGGTTCATTCGAGATGAAGACGAAATCGTGGCTTCGTTCTGTGTGCTTGGCTTGTAGGATTTTAAGTCAAGTAAATTTAG